ATGCCTTCCCGCCACCTGAGGGCGCACTGAGCCCGGGCCGAGACGCGCGTCTGCAGGAGCTCTGCGTCCCTGACGGTGCTCCCCCAGGCGTGGTGCCGGTGCTCAGCGCTCACAGCCCCTCGGTGGGCAGCGAGTACTTCATCCGCCTGGAAGACCCCGCGCCTGCCGCAGGCCACGACCCCGACTGTGCCGGCTGTGCCCCCAGCACTCTCGCTGCCACCCTGCGCCCCGACGGCAGTGACCATGATGACGACTCTGACGGCAGCACGGCCGCCTCGCTGGTCATGGAGCCACTGCTGGGCCACGCGCCGCCCGCTGATGGCCCCTGGGGCCACTGCGACTACCACCTATGCAGGAGCCATGCCCGTGACCTGCCTTGCACCTCACGCTCACCCTCCCCGGAGACCCCGATGCTGGCGGAGCCCAGAGCAGAGGATATTGACTGGGGCGTGGGGGCATTCTGCCCGCCCTTCTTTGAGGACCCGCTGGGCACATCACCCTCCGCGAGCTCCAGGGCCCAACCATCCCCAGGTGGGGAAGAGCTGGGAGAGGCTGGGATGCCCAGGGCTGCCCAGCACAGACACTGGAGCTCCAATGTATCTGCAAACAACAACAGCAGCAACCGAGCACCAGAATTCTGGGTCCCGGGCCTCTCAGGTTACATGGACTGCTGCCCTGGTGTGAAGCAGGCCCTACAGACCGTCCCTGAGCTGGGCCATCCTCTGATCCCAGAGGACCTCAGAGAGCCTCTGCTTGGGCCAAAGGGGGCCTCCTCTGGTAAGGAGATGGGCCGCTGCCTTGGCCTCCCCCATCTGTATCCTGCTGAGGGCCTGACACCTGCCCCGTGCCTGGTCACATCCCCGTGGACAGAGGCAGCCAGAAGTGGTGGTGACAGCCCCCAGGCAGAGCCCAGGCTTGCAGAGGAGGCCGAGGGCTCTGCTGGACTCCAGCTGCCCCTTCCCTCCATCCCATCCCCATCCCAAGAGGGAGCCCTGCTTCCTGCCGAGGAGGCCAGCACCCCGCCCACCCTGCCTGCTTCACCCACGCCCACTGGCAGCCCACAGCCTGCCACTGAGCCAGTCCAGGCCCTGGACAGCGACAGTGGCAGCAGCTCCCCTGAGCTGGAGGCACCAGGCAGTGAAGACGAAGATACGACTGAGGCCACTTCTGGTGTCTTCACTGACTTGTCCAGCGACGGCCCGCAGGCTGAGAAACCAGATGTGACACCAGCCTTCCGCTCCCTACAGAAGCAGGTGGGGACCCCCGACTCCTTGGACTCCCTGGACATCCCATCCTCAGCCAGTGATGGCGGCTCTGAGGTCTTCAGCCCATTAGCTGTTGGCACCCCTGGCGGGCAGCCCCGAGCCCTGGACAGCGGCTATGACACAGAGAACTATGAGTCCCCTGAGTTTGTACTCAAGGAGGCCCATGAGCCCTGTGAGCCTGAGGCCTTGGAGGAGCTGGCCTCAGAGGGTGAGAGCCCCGGGCCAGAGACTCGTCTCTCCGCCTCCCTGGGTGGCCTCAGCGAGAAGAATCCTTACCGCGACTCTGCCTACTTCTCAGACCTGGACACGGAGCCAGAGCCCCCCATGGGCCCCAAGGAGAAGCAAGGAGGTGTCCCAGTCCCTGGGCCAGAGCCCGATCTGGAGAGCCTGAAGAGCCCCAGGCTGCCGTCTGCACTGCCCTCCCCTGAGTTGGGGATGCTTGGGGAGGCACAGGGCTCTGGCCCCAGGGAGGTGCCGCCACTGCCACTGCTTGAGGACTCTTCCCCAGAGCCAAGCGCCTGCCCCAGGGGCCCCAGGCTGGAGCCTCCCTGGCCCCAAGACCCAGCCCAGGTGCCACCCATGCCCAGCCCCGGGCACTCTAAGATTTTCCTGCTGACTCCGGTCCGGCCCAGCTCAGAAGGCCACCGCCCCGAGCTCCAGGAGACCCTGGGACTGCTGTCAGGGTCAGGCCTGCAGGAACGGACAGGGGGTCCAGGTGCCCCCAGAACCCCACTCTGCCTGGCCCTGCCGGCAGTCCCCGCGGCTCCAGAGGGGCGGCCGGAGGAGGAAGAGGACGACAGCGAAGACAGTGACGAGTCGGACGAGGAGCTCCGCTGCTACAGCATCCAGGAGCCGAGCGAGGAGAGCGAGGAGGAGGCGCCGCCTGTGCCAGTGGTGGTGGCGGAGAGCCAGAGTGCGCGCAACCTGCGCAGCCTGCTTAAGATGCCCAGCCTGCTGTCTGAGGCCTTCTGCGAGGACCTGGAGCGCAAGAAGAAAGCCGTGTCCTTCTTCGACGACGTCACCGTCTACCTCTTCGACCAGGTGGGCAGCCGCCCTGGGTGGGCTCTGCGTGGCGGAGTGGGGGTCTGCGGCGGGACGGGAAGCCATGGGAGACTCGTGCTGTTCTGATCCTCCAGGAAAGCCCCACCCGGGAGCTCGGGGAGCCCTTCCCTGGCGCCAAGGAGTCGTCCCCCACGTTCCCGGTGGGCAGCCCGGGCTCCCCCAGCACCCCCGGCCGGCCTCGGCGGGCTGACCGCTCCCCCGACGGCCCCGCGGCCGAAGAGGGTGAGCTGGAGGCGGGGTGACGCGGAGGCGAGGGTGGGGCAACGGGGTGGGTGGGGCAACGGGGTGGGTGGGGCCCTCATGGAGGCGGGGCAACATGGCGGGGTGGGGGTGGGCCTGTGACTTAGCTGGTGGGCGGGGCCTGGACGTGACTTCTTGCTCCGGGCGGTGTCTCCCCCATCCGGTCCACAACTGACGGCGGGCACCTCGCAGGCGGAGGGTTCGAGTGGGACGATGGCCTCCCGCCGACGCCGGCCCAGGAGCCTACCCCGTGCGTCCCCGCTGCGCCCGCCAAGCCCAGCCCCTTCTCTCGTTTCACTGTCTCACCAGCGCCTGCGTCCCGCTTCTCCATCACACACGTCACCGACTCGGACTCCGGGTCCGTGGGAGGTGAGGCTGCGGTGGGGCTGGCGGGAGGGGATACTGAGTCAGGACAGTGGTGAGGGCGGCTGGGAAGGGCACCTGCTGGGCGCGAGGCCCTACGCTCGTTATTTCGTGTTTTCTGGACAAGCTCAGTTTTCAGATGGGGGAACTGAGGCTCAGAGAGGTCAGGTCACGCCAGGCCTGTTTGTTGTGGCCACCTTGGCACGTTTCCTCACCGCCCTGAGGAGATGCAGTGCCCCAGACAAAGCTGGCTCAGCACTCTCGGGATGTAGGTTGGATGTCCACTCCCTGCCCCACCCCCACCCCCCGCACCGCCCCGCTCTTTTCTCCCTCCTCCGAAGGCACCAGGCTGGACACTGAGTGCCCCCCACCCTGCTCTCTGACCTGCAGCAGCCTCTCCTGCCAGAACCTTCCCAGCCCCTGCTGGTCTGCCTCATCCACCAGCCCCCCATCTCAGATCTAATGGCTTGTCCAGAGATGGTGGTGGTGGCTCAGGTGCCCACGTGGGGCCCTACTCAGGGGCCTTAGCTCACTCCTCCCTCCAAGCTCTACTCCTGTCAACCTCAGACCAGGTGGGCTCATACCTGCCCAGTTGCCACCACCCCATTCTACTAGGCTTCCCTGAAAGCTCACCTCCACTAAGATGCCCCTACTTATCTTGTCCCCCTGGCAGACCCAGCCCCTCCCTTGCGGCCCTTGGCATGTGGCTGCAGCCTCTAGGGAAGGATGTGCTGGTCTGTTTGTGTCACACAGTGTGCCCTTAATGGATATCTGAACAAGCAAGCAGGTCACCAGGAGGCGAGTGTGTGACCCTGGCCAGCCCAGTCCTGCTCGGGTCTCAGTTTTCCCACCTGTAAAAAGAGGACTCAGAGGGCTGACGTTGAGCTTTGTTGGGCCTGATCCCTGGTGATGTGGCGGGAAGGATAATCGTCTGGCTCCTACCTAGATAGGCAGGCAGGCAGGCCTGCTGCAGCCCCAGCTGCTCAGTGGCCCGTAAGCCAGGGATTGAGGCCAGGTGAAAGCCCTGGGCGAGGGGACTCTGGCTGTCCTTGGAGGGGAGGGTGCTCTCAGGAGTCCCTGTGGCCCCAGTGTCTCCCTAAACATGTTTGCCAGGTCCTACAGCAGGTGCTGGGGGCAGCTGTAAAGAGGCCTGAGCCCCAGGCAGCCCCTGCTTGGATCCCCTGCCGGTTCTCTCCCCGGCAGCAGCGAGGATGGTGACCAAGAGTGGTGGGGACTTTCATCTTGGCAGTGGTCAGCAGCAGCTTCCAAGCGCTTCGGTGCCCCATGCAGCACCCTGGAGGAGCAGGGCAGGCGCTGGACATAAGAGCATCTGTGCACACCAGCCCTGTGCTGCCCTGGGGGCAGGATTTGTCCTGGACACTTGGGTTTGCTGCTAGGCCCTAGGGATGCCCTACAGCTGCCCTTCACCCTGAAGCTGCCCCCTCCCCCCCGGCCCCCTGCTGTCAAGACTGCTTGGCCTCTGAGGCCAGGGGCCCTCGCACGCCCTGCCTACAGGTTCCTGTGGTGTATTACAGGCTGCTGTGTCCTCACCCCAGGTGAGAGGACAGGTACAGGCCTGCTAGGACGGCCTCTCCCTGCCCCCTTTGCCCCTTCTGCCGGTTCAGGGTTTGCTCAGTGCAAGAAGAGGACACCGGGCTCGTGTGTCCCCGCTCCAAGTCTGTGGCTGTTTCCCCTTCACTGAATCAGTTAGACCGTAAGCTCTCCCTTCCCACAGGGTATGGGCCGGCTCCTGCCTGGGTCCCACTGGAGCGCTGCGAGGGGACTGAGGTGGGCAGCCCGAAAGATGGGGGGCTTTCAGGTCGCAGTCCTGCTGCTTCAGCCCCTGTCTAGAGGTGTCTGTGGCTCCCCTCTGCAAGGTAGGGCCCAGCCCGGCCCAGCTGCCAAAGGAAAGTGGCGGCTGCCCCCCACGGTCAGTGTCAGGGGGTTCCTACTGCAGGGATGGAGACAGTGGGAAGGGGTGGAGCTGGGAGGGAGGGTGGGGCAGGGCAGCACAGGGGGTATTTTTGTAACGCTGTTGTCCGAACAGATGGAAGAGGGATGCTTTTAAGGTATTGTTGCCAAAGAGACATAAAATTTATTGTTGCTTTTGGGGTGGGGGTGTGGGTGGGGACTTGTTTTGAATTTGTTTTTTTTTGTTTATTTGAGGCTTATGATGCTGGTACAATGATCGTCTTGTTCCTTTCTTGTCTGTTTTTTAAGAGAAATCAAACTAAGGAAAAAAGCCTTCATGCTAAGCGTGTTTTCTTTCGGAGTCTGCAGATAAAGCCTTGGGCAGGAGGGGGCATGGGCTGTGCTGGGGTGGGGTCCCTATAGTCCCTTCTGACCACTGGGGGATGCAGGAGGGAGACCACCCCTTCCTCTAGCTGTCCTTGGCACACCTTGGTGGAGGGACACAGTGACCTTGGGCCCCTAGGGTGCCCAGGTTGGGGTGTCTTCCCAGAACAGGGCCAGCGGACTGACGCCTGCAGCCCTCACTTCCTGCCTGGAAGCTGGCCCTACCTAGGTAAGGGTGAGAGGGAACCTCTCCGGGAAGCTCTTCCTCCTGCCTCTCCAGGGGTGGCCCCTGTCCCTCAGCACGGGGAGGCCGGGTGAGGGGGCGGTGAGCTGGGAGCAAGGTGGGTTGTGAGGAGGTGGGGCTTCTGTGCCCCTCCACCCGCAAACATCTGCCCTGTGACCCTGCCTCGCCTCACCTGGCCTGCCTCCAGCTTCTGCAAGGTGAGAGCCTCTGGGGCCCCACCCCCTGTGCTTCGTGTTCTGGGCTGTGCGCAGAGCCCCTCCTGGGAGGGTCTGGGAGGAGCAAGCGAACGCTGCCCGGAACTGAACGTCTCCTGAGGTAAGGACTGCTGTCACCAACGTGGTTATTAGCACGGCTGTATTTCAGCCTTAAATGTCAAACAGCACGGATCCGATAGCTTCTAAAATCTTATATTTCAGCTGAAATATGGAAACAGCCAGAGCATTGAGGGGGCCCACCCAGGAATCCTGGGGTAGGCCCCCTCAATGGCACACAGCTTGGGGAGCCAGGCCACAGCACCGACCACCCTGGGGACAGGGAGGAGAGCTGGGGGCCCTGCAGCCAGTTCTGGGTGGGAGTTAGGGTGTGGGCAGGGAGAAACTGGGACAGAGAGGCCCACAAAACTGCCAGTGGCAGGGGGGAGACCCAGCAAAGCCCCAGTCAGGGGTCTGCCAGGAAGTTGTGCTCGTACTAAATCCAAGGCAGGGAGGCCGGCCTCGCTCTCCCCCCCCCCCCTCGCCCCTGCATCGCTGCCGCAGGCCCGTACTACAGGTGGGCGGCCTCATTACTGACCAGACAGGGGCTCCCCTTACAGCTACAAGCTGATGCGATGGCCCTCCCTGCACCTTGGGGGCTCCCTGGCCCACACGACAGATGGGCCTGATTCAAAAGGTTGGCCGCCCAGCCCAGGCAGCAGGTTCCTGCTCCCCTCACTCTCCTTGGCCACGGCCATGCCACCTCCTGACCCTGTAGGAACAGCCGGGGTCCAGCCCAGGCCAGATTGAGGTGGGGGCAGAAGGGCTTGGAAGGAGACAATTCTCTAAATGGGGAGCAAGCAGATTGTAACAAAACAGGTTACAGGTCAGGGTGTGGGAGGAGGAGCCCCACAGGCAGTGGGTGCAGATGTGGCCGTCAGCTGAGGAGTGGGGCAGACCTGTCATTGGTCACCGTCGGCTTCAGCTGGACGCTGGCGAAGGGATTCCTGAGAAGAGGAGAGAAGAGTGGTTTGAGTGGTTTTCGGGAGGGGTGCTGAGTGCCGCCCTGTGGCTACAGACGGCACCCACCTGGACCCCGATGGCCCAGCCTCTGAGCTCAGGGCCCGGGGGTGGCAGAGGCCACGGGGGAGAGCCAGAAAGGGGCGCTGTCCGCAAGGCCAGCTGAGCCCCAGCGCGCCACCCTCTGCTCACCCCCCCCAGGTGCCCCACCTCAAACCGTCAACCCTCCCACAGGCAGGGTGGGTGGGCATGGGGGGGCCCCGCCACATCAGCCCTGGTCCTTTCTCTGCAACCTGAGGCAGCCCCACATGAGCCGCACCCGAGCTCGGTGCGCCGCCCCCCCCAAGGCCAAGCGCCCCCGCCACCTGCCCGGGAGCAGCAGCTGAGCCCATCTGCAAGGACACAGCTGTTGACACACAGAGCCACAGCTCAGCAGAGTGCACAAGCCTAGCCCATGCATCCTGGGGGCCCAGAGAGTGGCCCGTCCCATGCCGACATGACAGACACGAGGCGCAGGCACCCCAGCGACAACGGGGCTGGTAGGAGTGGACGCCCGCAGCCCCTGCGGAAGGGCTGACCGCCTCCTCAGAGAGGAGCCGTGCCTGCCCCTGCGTGCCGAGGCTGCGGCTGACAGACAGACAGACGCACCAGACAAGGGGCTGAGATGGAACGAGATGAGTGCAGGGTGGGGCTGGCACCTGGCCTCGTGCTCACGGAGGCCTCTCCTCCTCGGCGGGCTCCGAGGACCTGCCCAGGTGGAGACGGCACAGGAGAGCAGGCCAGGGGACGTCAGGCAGTCCCAAGGGTGACAGCACGGATGGCACGTGGGACACGGAGGGCTCGGCCTGAACGGGAGCCGTTACCTGGGGCGGGAGTGGCCTCTGACATGGCTGGGCGTCCACAGGAGCTGGGTGGGCGCTCTGTCCAGGTGCCCAGGAAGATAGAACGTGGGGTGGGCAACCCTGTGTTTGCCTGAGGACCTGGCATTTTCTAAAACACTGAGGCACTTTGAACAACTGAGTCCAAAGGATGAACTAGTGAGAGGAGACTGATCTGCATCTCCAAGATGCTGCCTGACAGTTGGCAGCACCCGCAGCCGTTCCACCCCTGCCTCGGAACATCTACACCTGATGAAAGGCCCTTCCAGCCGGCGGGGCCTCAGTCTCCCTCATTCAGGTCCTCTCTGGCCTCCCAGGCTTGGGTCTGAGCAGATGTGCTTCAGCCCCACTGGCCACAGGCAGGGGCAGCCTGGAAGTTCTGAAACCGAGGTTCTGCTGTGACCAGCGTCATCTGCCCTGGGACGGAGGATGCAGGGCAGCCACGGGGGCGGCCGCCTTGACTGGACTCTTGTCCTAGAGGAGGGCTCCATGCCCTTGGCGGTCTGCAGCCAGGGTCATGGCGGGGGGTCTTGTGGGGCTGGAAACGGGGCAGGTTTGTCCATCCAGAGTCGGGGACCCAGCAGGGGAAGGGACCCAGAGAAGGGAGGATGGCACCTGTGCTGACCAGAGCCAGGGGCAAAAGGGAGTTCCAGCCGGGTGTGTCCTGACGCACCTACATTCTCATCAGAAAGGGTCAGTGACCAGCCACGTGTAAATCAACGAAGTTACAACACACCCTCAAACCATATACAAAAATAAACTCAAAATGGCTTATAGACTTAAATATAAGACATGACACCATAAAACTCCTAGAAGAAAACATAGGCAAAACATTCTCTGACATAAATCGTACCAGTGTTTTCTTAGGTCAGTCTCCCAAGGCAATAAAAACAAAAGCAAAAATAAACAAATGGGACCTAATCAAACTTACAAGCTTTTGCACAGCAGAGGAAACCGTAAACAAACAAAAAGACGGCCTACAGATTGGGAGAAAATATTTGCAAATGAAGCAACTGACAAGGACTTAATTTCCAAAATATACAAACAGCTCATACCTCTCAACAACAAAAAACCAAACAACCCAATCGAAAAATGGGCAGAAGACCTAACTAGACATTTGTCCAAAGAAGACATACAGATGGCCAACATGCATATGAAAAGATGCTCAACATTGCTAATTATTAGAGAAATGCAAATCAAGACTACAATGAGGTACCACCTCACACTGGTCAGAATGGCCATCATTAAGAAGTCTACAAATTACAAATGCTGGAGAGGGTGTGGAGAAAAGGGAACCTCCCTACACTGTTGGTGGGAGATTGGTGCAGGCACTATGGAAAAGAGTCTGGAGGTTCCCCCCAAAACTAGAGTTGCCATGTGATCCAGATGGAACTAATTCAAAAAGATCCATGCACCCCTATGTTCACAGCAGCACTATTCACACTAGCCAAGACATGGAAACAACCTAAATGTCCACTGACAGATAAATGAATAAAGATGTGGTATATACACAATGGAATATTAGCCATAAAAAAGAATGAAATAATGCCATTTGCAGCAACATGAATAGACCTAGAGATTCTCATACTAAGTGAAGAATGACTAATAGCACATGATATCACATATATAAAATCTAAAAAAATTATACAAATGAACTTATCTACAAAACAGACTCACGGACATAGAAAACAGACTTGTGGTTGCCAAGGAGGAAGAGGGGTGGGGAGGGGTGGATTGGGAGTTTGGGATTAGCAAATGAAAACTATTATATATAGAATGGGTAAACAAGGTCCTACCGTATAGCACAGGAAATTACATTCAGTGTATCCTGTGATAAACCATAATGGAAAAGAATATAAAAAAGAATATATATGGGTATAACTGAATCACTTTGCTATATGGCAGAAATTAACACAACATTGTAAATCAACTATACTTCAATTAAAAAAAAAGGGTCAGTGGCAAACCCACACTACCACCTGAACCAGGAAGACCTCCCTGAAGAGGGTGTCTGGCCTCTGACCCACACCGTCCCCCAAAACAGTGTGACCATGGAAGAAGCATGTGCTGTCCACACTGCAGGTTCTGAGGAAGGAGGTGGCAGCTGTAATCACTCCAGACCTCTGGAGCGACTCCCTCCTGCAGCCCCGGCCACAGACCCCTGGGTGGGACACTCCCACCCTTCAGCATCAGAGGAAGTGTGAGGCCCCCTTGGGTGCTCACCACCTTCTGGGATGTTCTGTGAAAGAACAGGCTTAAGAGCTACCCCCGGGGAGGGCACCTGAGTGACCCCAGGTGAGGGACTTGGGTCAACACTGGGATGACAAAACATGACAAGATTTGGACCTGAGGCACTGCTGATCCTGCTGTCCTGCAGACGTCCGTCACTGCCCAGGGGTGGACGCCGGGGCCAATCAACAGACGACCACCCAGACACAGAACAAGCTCTTCTTGACCCAAATGGGAGACGCTGGAGTATGCGAGAGCCAGTGCTGTCAGGATGCCAGGGCCCCTCCCCAGGCAGGGCCACCAGGCACTCAGGTGCCCGACTGGTGGCTGGGCTCTGTCCCCCTCCTGAGCAGGGACACAGGGACAGCCGGTAGCTTTTATACGGAATGGATTTGTATCCTCTGGGGGGCAGGCCTGAAGTCCCGGGCATGGTGAAGGGAGGCATGAGCCAGGCCCCCCGCCAGGAATGGCTGTCCCCACCACCCAGTCCTCTGCAGACCCCTACAGCCTGACGAGGTGGGACCCCTGCAGCCAAGCAGCATTCGGGTCCAGGCTCATGAAACATTCGTCACTGAGGATTTGGTGGAATCACCTTCGGTTATCTTCTGAATCCACTTCTTGAATAAGAAACGGGGTGGTTCTGAGAACAGCCCGGTCAGCACGAAGCGTGGCTTGTGTCCTGTGGTGACTCCGGGGCAGAGAAGGAGCGAAGAGCAGTCACAGTATAGATTTCAACTTCCTCCACGTTTTCCTCTTAAAACGTGGCACAACTTCAGAACGTCGGCCCTTCTGGACTTGAGTCGTTCTCCTCCCCGGCCCTCCTCCCAGGGCTGTGAGCTCTGGCAAAGTTGAGCAACGTCCCTCAACCAACCAGAGGTGGCTTGTGACACCCCCGCACCTGGTAGGATCATCAGGACAGGCAGACCCTGCGGCCGCCGTGCTGTGAGCTCCCAGAGATGAGTGCACCCCCGCCCGCCGTGCCCCTGGGGCTCTGCCCTCCATCCAGGGGTGGGGTTTAGGCAGAGGCCACACGAGCCTCCCTGAGCCTTCACCCCCTTCCAGTACCTCCAGTGGGTGAGATCAGCTGGGCTCCACCAGCTCAGAGGGACCACGAGGGCAGCAGAGCTGGGGGCGGGAGATGCAGGTGTCTCAAAGCATCTCGGAAGAAGAGGGATAGATGCAGGGGAGGAGAGTGGCCCAGGTCACCCACTGCTGAGCCAGGGTCAAAGTCATTTCTCCCATCCCCCAATTTCAGGAGCACTTGTCTCTAGAGTTTTCCAGAACTCACACTGCAACTCATCAAGAGAAAGGCAGGAAAAAACAAACAAACATATATATAGATAAAAAACCCTGGTAGTCCAGTGGTTAGGGCTCTGCGCTTCCACTGCTGGGGGCCCGGGTTTGATCCCTGGTCAGGGAACTAAGATCCCACAAGCCACGCAGTGTGGCCTAAACAAACAAACACACACACCAAAAAAAAAACCAAGAAAGGCAGTGAAGGAGGGAGAGGGAGAGTCCAGGACCTGCTGCCCACAGGGAGGGAGGATGGCATCTCCATGACACCCAAGGAGGTGAAGTGATGACCATCTTTGTAAAGGGCCCACGTGCCAGCTTCGCGCAGCAGACTTCTCAGTGACAGGGCTGGGGTGGGGCAGAGGGGCAGCAGTGCTGCCCAGACCCAGGCACAGGAGCCCAGAGCAGTGGGCTCCCCCTGCACGCCCCACCCCAGCTGTTGGCGCTTGCTTTCCAAGGGCACAGGGGAAGGGACCATCACCAGTTGGGAGCTGGAGGAGGCCCCTGGGGCCTGCTCTGGAAGCCTGGAGTAGCCCCCTGGAGCCATGTCGGGGCAGACAGCAGCTGAGCCTGCGCAGAACGGGGCCACTGCATCTGCTCATCCCCTGCGGGGCAGATGCATGCTGCTGCTCCCGCGTGCCTGTGGCTCTCACCTGGGCACAGGCCATGGCACTATCCCCACACCCATCCTGGTCTCCCCAGCCCTCGAGGGGCTGCGATACTCACCAACCCAGGAGCCAGCCAGGCCGGGCTCAGACCCACGCTCAGGGACCGGTCTGAGGGGCACTCAGCCGAAGGAGCCCAAAGCCAGCCTCGCAGCTGATCACCAGGCTTCACCCCGATTATGGCCAAAGCACCCAGCAGAAGCAACAGGGAACCCAGACAGAGGGCCAGGACAGACCCGCAAGCTTCCAGAGGGAGGAAATCCGAGAGCCCAAGGACAGGTCCAGGGAGGCAAAGACCCAGAACCGAGAGCAGACGCAGGCTCAGCAGACCCTCGGACCCCAGCATAAGAAAACCAGGGCAACTTACTAACTCTAGTCAGGGGCCGCTCAAAATCTGGCCACTTCCACATCGGCACTGCAAGGAAACACAGGGCTCAGTTGATGCACGTGGAGCAGGTGGGAGTGAGGTCTGAGGACTCCGAGGGGACATAAGCCGGATGGAGGATGGGGGGACGCCTGGCAGCTAGCATATGCTGCCGGGAGCATGTACCACCAGCCACAGGGCAGAGCTGGCTCTCCAGCCCGCGGGAGGGGTCTGCAGGGAGGCAGCTCCAAGGAGCAGCTCAAGCAGGGCGTCCCTGGATCAGGCCCACGTGGCTCTCCCCCAGGTGCGGGCCTCCCCAGGCGCCCCCAGGGAGAGCAGTGTGGCCTGGCACGCTCTGCACCTTGGTCACTCTGTCGGCGAGGAGGCCAGGCTTTGCACGTGGCCCGGACACACGCAGAGGGGCTGGAAGGAGGCGCCACACCCAACTCGATGCAATAAATAAAACTTTTATTCAAACAACTGCAGTACAGGGCACAATTCAGATTAAAAAAAAAAAAAAAAGACGAAAGGAAACGAAAAATATTTTCAGCACTTTACATCTTCATACAAGTTTTGCGGTTTTGTGTCTACATTCATCCATTGAGCATGGAATCCCCTGGATTTGAGATCTTTTAGCAAAATTAGAACACCAACATAGAAGGCTCTTTTTACAAAGGTCCATGTTCTGGCTTTGTTTTTTCCTTAATTATAAAACAGGGTCTGTCTGCGTCTTGAGCTGCTTCTCTCACAAATGCTACCAGCCGTGTTCTAGTCCACGGGAGGGGGTGGGAGGGTTTTGCTAAATCACATCAAAAAAAGGAGCGTCCACAGCTTCACGGGGGCTCCCGTGGCGGGAAGGACGGAGCGGCTGCGCCCTCGCTCACTTCCCAGATTCAAGGCGTGAAGAGGCAATACCAGTAGCCAGCCACTCAGTCCAGCATGTCTGTTTCTGAAGTCACCAAGACACACAGAGAGACGAGAGCGTTTAGGGAGGACTGGGCAGGGACTGCCTGCTCCCCGACGGCAGGTGCAGGGGTGTAGCGCCCAGAGCCGCCCTCACTCTTTCACAGGCTGGTTAAAGAAATGATTTCCAGAACACGTGGGGTTGGGGGTGGTCTCTGGAAGTCTTTGGAATGTCCGAGTGCGGCCGGTCCCCCTCCCCGCCAGTGCACTGTGCGGTCACGGCGCCCCGAGGCTGGCGCCGTGCTCTGGTCTGTACATCGTCCAATGGCGTCCGGGACAAGGAAGCGGTCAGGAGCCCGGCCTGGCGGGCAGGCAGGGCTGGGGGCTGCGGCCTCCCTCACAGGAGCGGCCAGCTTCCTCAGGAGGCCCCCCGGCTCAGCCCGAGCCCTTCTCTGGATGCGGCCTGGAAGGATGCCCCCGGGGCCACAAGCCTTGTGGAGCCCCCAGCACCCTCCCTCTCCTGACACAGGTGCCAGCGTGTGCTGGGGGGTCAGATGCAGAGATAACAGTACGTACACCGGAGTCCATGCATATCTGTTTTTGTTTTTCAGGAAAAAAAAGTCCTTTTCCTGTTTTTTATCTTTTTGTTTTTTTGTTTTTTAAAGATTTTTCTTTTTCTTCAAACTTTTTAGACCTGGCTCACGGTGAGCCTTCAAAGAGGGACAGCGTGTCATGAATACGGCGGATGGGGAGTAGCGGCGAGGACACCCCGCCCGCGCTGCCCAGCGGCAGGTCCCAACACACGGGTGGGGGCGTGTAAACACAGGGAGCGGAGATGGGGCAGCACCATGGACCCTGGGGGATCACAGAGTCTGGGGTCACGAACCAAAAGGCGGGGGTGAGGGGGCAAGTGGGAAAGAGAAACAACCCAGGAAGAAACCAACGAGAGCCGAGGAGGAAACCGATGGAGACCAGACAGACCGGGGTGGGGGGGGGTGGGGAGACGGCGGAAGCTCTTCTGAGCAGCAGCTGCCCGGGGTCAGCGTCCTCACACTGTGGACACCAGCGTGCCACTGCCGCTGTGAAACAAAGCACAGGACAGCTGCCGGGCCGCACACCTCCCCCCGCAGCTGCCCTCCCAGCCGCGCGACTGGCCACCGGCCCTGGGGGAGTGGTGACAGGAGACCCCCAGAGCCTGGACAAGGGCTGCGCCCGGGTCAGGGGTTCAGGAGGCTGCAGCCCTGAGCCATCTGCACCGGCCTGGGCTGGTTCCGGGGAGACGAGCCCAGGGGCGGGCCCCCCTCCTGGCCGAGGTCTGGACAAGCAGGTGTGGACGCCAGGAAAGAGCAGGGCCACAAAACCACCAGGTGAGGGGGTCATGCTGCGGCTGTGGGCAGCCCGAGGGCCCCACCAGGAAAGAATGGGAGCCCCAGTAGTGGCTGCAGTGGGTCCCTGACTCCGGCCTGGGCACAGGGCCAGGCCCGGCTTGCTCCAACCCACCCACCTGCCCGCAAGGGGAGCATGAAGGCAGCTCCAGGAGGGGCTGCTTCCCCCACTCGGCGTTATCTGGGGACCCTGGGCTACTGCCAGGGGACAGGGCATCCTGCACCGAGGGCCCTGCCCTACAGAGCGGACTGGGGGAAGGCACAACGCGGTGAGGGGCAGAGAACAGGCACCCTGGGCCCCGCTCACTGACTCAGAGTGGCGACACCATGGTCTCCAGCCAGGCCCCAACAGAGCAGGCCTGGGAGGGGAGACACCCAACTCCAGCCTCCGGTGGGACAGCTCCCCAAAACCCACAGCTCCCCAAGACGAGTCTCAAAACCCCTTACCTGCTCACGGCCCGTGCTCCGTAATCATCCAAACCCTGGGGAGGAAAGGAAGAAACAGGTCAGGCTGGGGTTCAGGGGGTGAGGCCAGATCTGCAGGGCAGGGTCCCCTCCTAACCCCAGGGTGTGCAGTGCTGCCTGCAGCTGAGGACATGAAGGGGCCCCTCCCCTCCTGAGCAGTGACCTCCCCAATTCACAGGGATGTCTCCTTATCTGGCCAGCGGCCGACGGTGAGCTCACACTCCCGGGCACACACAAGACAGATCACCTGATGACGCCCTTCCACCCATGTTCCCTATGGCTCTTAGGCCCTGCAGGTCACATGGTAGGAACACCTGGCAAGTGAGGGCTTCCTGGGGAACCCAGAGCCTGAAACCACTGACGGTGGGGCATCGGGGAAGCCAGGCTGGCGGAGGCTGGCGTGGGGAGGGCGGCTGCACTGAAGGTCACCCGCACGCCTGCCTCATGCACGCCTGTGCCGGCCCCTGAGCGCCCCACACCCAGCTGCAGCTTCCTGGCCCTGAAGCAGCTGCCGCCCCAAAGCCATTGAGGGGTACTGGGGACACCCTCCTCAGCTCTCTAAGCATCAAAACCAAAACCAGCAACCAGGAAGCGAGAGCAACAAGCAGTGGTCAGACCTCTCCAGGCCAGGCCGGCCGAGGCCTGGGTGAGGCTGCAGAGGGACTGAAGTGTCTCACTGCTCCGCAGCCTGGCCCTGTGGCCCCCCGAGGCGCCACGCCTCTCCCAAGGTGGGATCAGCCTCTCCCTCCCTGCTGCTTGCCCTGGCCACTGGTCCCAACATCACCTTCTCTGAAAGGTTCCATCCAAGGGTCCGGCCACACCACCTCGGCCTTGCCCCTCTCACCACTTAAGCTGTCTCGAATCACGTGTTCACTCTGCCTGAGCCGTCAATTCCCTGAAGACGGCTCCCTCCACCCTCGACACCTCACACAGCATATGCCAGCTGAGCCCTCCTCACAGGAAGGAGAGGTGGCCGAGGACAGGACAGGGACAGCTGGAAGGGAGAGTCGGCCACCACGCACCCAGAGCCCTTCCCTGCCTCACCCACTTCTGACATCACACTGTCAATATGGGAGCCCCAGCTGTTGGGTCAACTCTCTGGCTGCTCAAACCCTAGAGAAACCTGAGTTCTCTTCTCTTCTCTCCCCTCTGCCTGGGCCCCCCAACCCCCAAACCGAGGGAGGCCCTGCCCTAGAGAGCGGCACCGGAACAGAGCTGCTGGCCCCCGCCTACCACGCAGCCACAGCAGATGAACGTCCTGGAAGCCTGGGCCCCCTCCACCCCACGAGCTTCCCCAGCAGAGCTGTGCAGCACCGTCCACACTCACACCCCAGCCCCGCCTTGACCACCAGGCACACGGGGGATCCATCAGGGGATCCACCGGGGACCCAAGCCTCAGTCTTCTGCCTCTGGTCGCCTGGTACCAGGTGGCCTGACCTCGCGTGCCTGGCCCTGCCTCCTACGGGCCCCAGAAACACACTAACTAGAAGGTTCCGGCCACGTCTCAGGCCCTGAGTGGCAGGCACTCATCTGCACTCGGACCCATGATGGCAGGAGCCCCACGGCTCTCAGGGAAGGGGCTCCTCCCGAGAGGCAGCGTCCAGTGCAGTCTCAAGGCCGGCAGCACCCGAGCCCGAGGGAAGGGCAGGCAGAGGGGCCGCCGTGCCTTCTCTAGAGCCCTGAGACTATAGAGGACGTCTGGCTGTGCCCCCTGAGGTGGCCACAGCAGGGGTGCAGATGCCAGGCCCAGACCCCCGAGCCCACAGCCTTCCAGTGGAGGTGCCAACACAGGACTGCAGCCGAGCCCACCCATCAACGGCCCCTGCCAAGGCCCCCAGCTCACCTGGGAGAAGGCAGGCATGGCCACGCTGTAGGGCCTCTGCTTGAAAGGGCCGGCCGTCTGGGCGGGGAAGGCCCGGGACGATGTGCCGTAGTCGGGGGGCGGGAGCGCCAGGTCTTCCTTGTCCAGGAGGTTGCCCGTGCTGCTGCTCTTCCCCTGCTGCAGGCTGTGGGGACGTGGCACAGGGCCGTCAGCTCGGGCCCCCCACCTCGCCGGGCCCCGCAAGGGAGGCGGAACGAGAGGCTGCTCTCTGGGGCCTGGGGTGCAGCCATGCCGCCCCGGTGGGCCAGCCCCCTCCTAGGAGCGGGGTGTGAAGCGTGCAGGCGGGAGGGGAGCCGAGCCCTACGGCAGCCGCTCAGCCCCTTGCTGGCTCCGGCAGCGAGTCTCCTGCTTTCCCGAGGGCCAGAGGGACCTGGGGGGCTCACGGGGCCCCCACCCCGCCCCCCACAGCTGGCAGCGACCCCCGGGGCTCTCAGATGCCGCCCTCAGAGCACCTCCGCACCCCTGCACCCTAGGGCCTCAAAGGCGCAGCCCCTTCCCAGAGCTATGGGCCACCTGCCCCTGTCGGCATGCTCACCTCATGTGCAATCTGTCACCGCCGTCGCCGTCCAGGACCCGGGTATAGGAGAAGGGAAACCAGCCCCGCCTGGAAGAGCAGACCCTGTCAGAGTGTGCCAGGGCCTCTGCGTTCCGGCGCCAAGTCCCACCCATTCCCCGGCCTGGCTGCACCTGAGGGAACACGTGTGCGCGCTCCAGGGAGACCAAGAGACCGCAGCACCCACGCGGGGCATGCATCCAGCTCGGAACTGCCCTGCTCCGGACGGGAGCCAGGCTGGGGGTGAGGGAAGGTGCCAGGACCCAAGCAGGGCTCTTACTTCTTCAACAAACAGGGCTGGTTTCCTGCCACGTGGCCCAGCTGGGCGGAGCCCCAACTGGCCACACAGAACCACGGCACCAACGTGAGAGGCTGCCTGGGGGAGGCAGGTGTGGTGTTGGGGATGCGGGTGCCCTGCCGGTGCCCCCGCTCCTCAGAGCTGCCCCTCAAGGGTGGCGGCTGCCAGTGGGCCAGAGCCAGGCTCCGCGCAGCATCTTCCTCCCGGCTAAGGCAGGCTGCTTCTGCCCCGGGGCAGGGGTCTCTCACCCGGCGGACAGACGCATGCAGACAATGGTGGTGGCGGTGGAGTGGGGTGTGAAGCGTGCAGGTGGGACGGGACAGCCCCTGACCTGGGCGGGCCCTGGCTGAACAAGAGCCAGGCGTTGGCACAGCCTCTTGGCAACAGGCGTTCAATTAAGCCGTGACGGCGCGGCCCATCCGGCTCAAGGCCACTTCTAGAACCCCAGCGCGAGGGCTGCTCACATGCACGGAAAGGTTTTGGGGTGGAAGGCTGGCCTCTGCTGACTGGGAGGGCACACGTGGGATGATGAGCTAGGTCAGGGGATGTGGAAGTGAGGGACGGTGGGGGGCCCTCGGCTACATCTGTCCCTCCCAACAGAAGCGTGGGACCTGGACCATCAGTTCAAAGGAGGACCCAGAGCCCAGAGTCAGGACGTCTGAGGACCAGGTCATGAGGCCGACGTTCCCACTGCCCACACAGGACTCACATCTTGGTCTTCTCGCTCTCGCCGTAGTGCCAACCGTCACGGGCCTCAGGCACCAGCAGGGTGATGAAGTCGCCCTCCTTGAAACTCAGTAGGGTGCTGTTGTCCCCAGCCGCGTGGGAGAAAATGGCCTTCACCCGCATGCGGCCATTGCGCTCCAGACCAGCTGCCATGGAGCTCGAGCGGGGCAGGGTCTTGTTCTCGGCTGCCGGGACGACAGGGCAGGTGTGAGGGGGATCTCTGCCCCGAGCGGGTAAGGGCACGGTCACCCTCCCGTCAGCTCAGCTGCCCGATGGTGAGCGGCTAGGAGGCCCCAGGTGGGCCTGGAGGTGGACTGTCCATCCTGATGGGCGACTACCAGGCCTCCAGGGCTGCTGGCTCACGCTGCGGAAGGGCCTGGGAGCTGGGGTGCGTGTGGACTCAGCCTCTGACCTGCCACTCATCAGCAGGGGCAATTCTCTGGGCCTGAGCCTCAGCTTTCCCATCTGCTACTCAGGAGACCCTCACGGGCCGAGGCCACCGGTGGGGCTGCAGGAGGGAGAGTGCCGACCACGGCAGACGTGGGAGGGCGGGAACCTGTGCCACGGTCAGCAAAGCCCTCCCCAGCGTCATCCACCTGCTCCTGTCACCAGCTGAGCTGCTGGCGTCCCCACACTGCCCCGCCCTATCATGTTCACTTAATGGGGGAGCCTGGCCAAGCCCAAGGGTCCAGGAAGGCAATCTCAAAGGGGCCCCCGGGGTGCTGCACACAGGCATGCACACTTGCGAGCCTCTGGACCTCCCCAGCCTCCCCTCAGGTGTGATGTTACTACTACGGGCAGGGCCGGGGCCCCAGCGGAGCTCTTACTGGTGGCGTAGCTGTTCTTGGGGGCCACACTCTTGCGCACAGGAAGCGTGTTGGAGTAGGAGTCGCTCAGCTTGCTCTGAGACTGCGGAGGAGATGTGGACTTGGGCTGGGCGGCCTTGCGGTCAGCCCAGGGGTTGTAGTCCTCGTTGTCGGGGCCTGAGACGCCATTCATGACCGGCGTGTTCTCCTGGGCAGACAACCGCTGTCGGGAAGAGGCGGCATGGGGGCGGTGTGGCAGGAGGGCCCGGCCCGGGTGAGGCCAGTGTGGAGAATCCCTTGCCCCCAGCAGGGGCGCACCCCAGCTGCTACGGGATGCCAACCGTTGGTGCCAAGGGGGGCCATCCCCCCACACCCCCATAAAGCTTTCCAGAGCAAGGACTTACCCCCACAAACGGGGCCAGCTCAGGGGGCACCGGCAGGGGCTTGGCGCCCGGAATGGGGTCTGAGATGACCAGGTTGGACTTGGAGGCCGACAGGCCGCTGGGGAGTATAGACCCATTGCTGCTGGCCATCTGCTGCATCAGCTGCACGGCGCGGTCTGGGATCTTGTTGGGGTCGGCACAGGCCTGCTGCCACAGCGGCAGCTTCTGTGCCAGCAGCTCCTTGCCCTGAAGCGGAGAAAACCAAACAGGGTGGCAATGAGGGCCGGCCGCAGGCTCCTGTAGCCTGCCCGCAGGGCTGGGGGAGCCCAGGGCCTGCTGCCGACCTCACTGATGCAGCCCCCTGGCTCCCGCCTGGCACCCCGGGAGGGGCACACCTGGCTAGGGCTGCTCTTCACCAGGTGGGGTACCTTACAGCCAGATGAGCCACCTGTAGGTCCCTGACCCCCGACCTAGGAAAGGGGCTGAGAAGATGCAGTGAGCTGTGCAGTCGAGGGACCCTCAGGAGTGAGATCAAACCAAGGCCTGATCAGGGCGGGCCTCCCCAGGGGCCCGAGGGAGCTGAAATGGACAGGTGCTCAAGTGGTCAGCCACGGAACAGAAAGGCCCTTTGTGGGCAAACCATGAGATACTAGGAAGAGCGCCACTTGGGCAGACTTGAGGGCCAGGAAACCTCGCAGGGACAGAGGAGACTGTGGGGAAGGGACAGAGCTGCCCAAAGCCCAGCTACGATCAGGGCACCACCCAGGGGCCCACAAGCCCAGCTGTCCCTCCAGTGTGCACCAGGGCCTGCCCAGGACACAGCTAGCCAGAAGAGCACAGGGCCTGACAAAGGATGAGGAAGCCACAGGCCTGACCGGGGCCCCAGGATGGGGGTGCAGCCAGAGTGAGACACCAGCCTGAGGTTCCCTGCAGCCCATTCAGGGGCCCTGTGTCCACGACATGGACACACTCAGGGCCTGGGGTGCAGCTGTGCCCTCCCCCTCTCCTGGCCCTCTGACCAAAGTGGGCTACCCTACCTGCAACAGGTGACACAACCCATGTTCCACTGCAGACCCCAGACCCCCCCTGGGTGGAGCTGCCCCCCAGCTTGGGGCAGTCACGGTCTCCAGGACCTCGGAAGGGTCTGTCCAGCCCTCACTGTCTCTCCTCACTCATCTTCCCACTTTTTTCCCCCCATTTTTTGGCAGTGCTGTGCAGCATGAGGGATCTTAGTTCCCTGACCGGGGATTGAACCTGCACCCCCTGCAATGGAAGCGCCGTGTCTTAACCACTGGACCGCCAGGGAAGTCTCTCTTCCCACTTCTTTTGACCTGTGTCTGGGGCAGGGAGGTGGCGCCCACATGGGGAAACTGGAGGTTGCTGGACAAACAGCCCTTTGGAGCAGGCCGTGGCCCCCTCTACCACCTGCTGGTTTAAACCAGGGGCCAACAAACAACCACCCGAGGGCTGGCTGCTCGTCTGTGAACGAGGTTTGACTGGAACACAGCCACGTCCGTTGGTTTACCCATCTGTGGCCACTTCTTTGTGCAATAACCAGAACGAGATATTTACTAACTGGCTCCTGGTTGAGAGAAATAGCTGATGGGTCTGGGCTGTTGGTGAGAAAGCAGGTCAGCAGGGACCCTGTACTAACAGGGACAACCCAGGATCAGGGCACCGCAGCCCAGGGCTCCCACCCTGATGACGGCCCTGTCGCTGTCGGGCCTGAACCCAGGCACAGGGAAATGCCAGGCGCCTGCTGCTGGGAATAGGCTGGGGTGGTGCTGCCTTCGTGCCCCGGTGCCCCAGCCCGGGGGGCTTGTGCCTCTTTGAAACCTACCAGGGGGCTGGCATCCAGGATGGTGGCATCCTGGAAAAGGACTGCTTTCCTGCCCTTCCTGCACGTATGGGCCTGCGCTCTCCCTGACCAGTCACGGGGCCCAGCCGCCAGAGGGCGCATATGCCTGCCACAGTATTGCCTGGGGTCGCGTGGGCGCTGCGGAGGCCCTGCTGGAGAACTGCAGCAAGTACCGCCCTGCTGCCAGTGAACCCTCGGGGCACAGGGCCTGCCGGCAAAGCCGCACTCGGTGGGGTGGCCCGACCCCCAACCCTGCAAAGGACGTAAGTCCTGTCACCATCCTTGCTTTGCACCTGTGGTGGCGGCAGGCCCTTGGGCAGGCCCAGGCAAGCAGGAGCCTCTCCGCGGAGGGAGGGCATCTGTCTCCTTGGCAGCTCCCGCCTGGGGACCAGAAGCTGAGTCAGATCAAGCATGTGTATGAGGTGCTGACCCGCAGAAGCCCTTTATGGAAAAAGGACACAAACGAGGGCCTACCTGGTTGGCTGAGCTGCCTAACCACACCTAACTCTCAGAACGTTCTGGAATGTTCCCGCAGACAGCTCTGACCCCACCCCAGCTCCTACCTGTGCACTACAGGAACAGAAGCCTCAGTGAAGCTACCTGTCCCTGCAGGGGAGGTGTGTCCTCTGGGTCTCGCTGGCCCCGGGGGCCTAAGCTGGCCTCTGTAGGGGTTCCCTGGCACTGCAGCCCCTCCCAAGGAGCTCGATCCCTGGAGGAGACCCTCTTAGTGGGCTGTTAGTGTAAGTGCTCTCAAAAACACAGCCCGCAACTTCTAACGGGAGTCTTAAAGCATCTGCAGCTTTAACCTGGTGACTCTTCCAGAACTCCCGCCCTGGGGAAATCCAAAACACATGGGATGTTCAGCACAATGTTCCTTCACGACAGCTCCAGGCTGGACGCGTCCCGGTGCTCCCGGGGGAAGCAGTCGTTTCGCCCACAAGGGCTCGGCCCCGCGCAGAGCGAGCGCCCACCTTGGAGTGGTAGGCGGCGGAGTTCTTGGCCACGGCACACTGCTTCTCCACCAGGAAGCAGAACCTCCTCCTCTCCTCAGTGAGAGCAGTCTTGTAGCCGTCGGACACGTAGCTCTCCAGCTCCCCCTGCTTGTTGCCGATGGCGTCGATGTACTGGGGGTGGGAGAGGGAATAGAAGAGGCAGATGAGCCAGCGATGGGACAGCGCACGCTCACCTCCAGTTCTGGGTGGCCCCACGGAGGGGGAGCACACCTCCCGGCCGGCGCACTGGTGTGGGGCTTGGCCGTGTGACTCACCCTGGCCATGGGGCTGCCCTGCTGTGCCACTGCCCCCTGGTGCCCCAGCAGCCGTCCATGTGGGGACCATGCTGGCAGGTTGCTTGGTGAGGCTGGTGGCGGTGGTCACCTCCCTCGGACCCGGACTCCAAACCTAATAAAAGCCACCCTAATGCTCGGTAGACCAGGAAAGCTCAGCTGGCACTGTGCTGGAGAATGACTAATTCACACCCAGATCCCATGGGGTGGGCAGAGAACGCAGACACAGGAGACCCCGCTTGATACTGGGGCACCCCAGAACGTTCTCTGCAGGTTGGAAAGTTTCAGTAATAAAGTACCAGCAAGACTAGGGGCAGCTGTCCCAGGGGGGCCTGCAGGCCCCTCTCTCCACGTCTGGGTGTGGGTCTGCAGGGCCCAGCTTCCCGGGTGTGGGAGCCCTGCCGGCCCCTTCCTGTCTCCCCTCTCGCCCCTCCACGCTCCACACGGGGCACAGACTCCCCGCCCCAAGCTGGTGTCGCTGTCCTTTGGCCGGCCAGGGAGCAGCCTCTGCCCAATCAAGCCCCATCCCCGGCGGCGCGGGCAGGTCCAGGCCACGAGGGGGCGGCCTCCCCCGCCTGACTCGCCCGGCTCCTCCACCAGCTCTGACTCAGCGTGGGTGGGCGGTGCGGAGCCGGTGGGCGCAGTGCAGGCTGTTCCTGTCACCTCCCCTCCCCTCCCCTCCCGCGCGCTCAGCAGGAGGGCGAGGGCCTGCCTGCCGGGCGTGGGCCGTCCCCAGCACTCTCACCAGTGCACAGCTCAGCTCAGTCAGCGTGAGTGAGCACACTACCCCAGGCAGGGCCTGCCCAGCGCCCTCACCAGGACTGGGACCCTGCTCCCCCCTCCAACGCCTGCAGATCACCCCGCCTTCAACACTGAACCCCCTCTCCTCGCCCTGGGAGGGCAGCCAAAATGGGCCAGTCCACTACCCCAGCCCTAAAGGAGCCGGCCCTGGTCCTCCTGAGCAGCTGCAGGGCCGCCACACCTCGGGGTGGGTGTGCCTGAGAAAGTCTGTGCAGGAGGAGAGAGGCCTCCAGGGCAGCCCTGCCTCCACTGCCGCGGCCCCCCACCCCAGCAGCCCGAGCAGCTCCAAGTGCTCTCCTCCGGGTTCTGAGACGCGTGCGCATCAGAGCCTGCAGCCCCTGCTCCTGCAGAACACCCCCTGCACCGTAGCTCCTCCAGGAAGTAGGGGAACAAGTCTGCAGATTTGGGGTGCTACTGGGGGCCTGTGGAGGCCACCGTGGGCAAGGCTGTGCTGTGTGGGGAGGTCCCTTCAGGTGCCGCCCACCAAGGGGGAGTGGCTCACACCCGAAGCCCTTATGCGGACAGGAAGCCTGGGGGCGGGAACACCCTCTGGACAGAAGGGCCTGGAAGGGGCAGGGCTCCCTCACAGAGAGGGGGACCCTGATGCACAACCCCGCTGCGCCTGCCCTATCACCTAAACAATACCCAATGCTAGACTGAAATCCCCCGGAGGGTCCCATGCCCGCTCTGCTCCGTGGCTGTCCTACCATGTCCAGGGGATGGTGGGACGTCAGCGTGGCCTTGCAGGCTTCAACCAGCCCTGAATAAAGACGCCTCCCTTGGCCTGTCCTGCCCATCCTTGCATACAGGGGCACATACAGGGGCTCGGCTGGGGTCCTGGGAGCCCCTTAAGGGGCAGCCTCAGGAAAAGTTGCTGCGAGGCTCCGGAAGGAGTTTGGCTTTTAACCCCAGGGTAAGCCCCAGCCGGCCAGCCCTTCACCGGGGTCACCACCTCCTACCCTCCCTGGGGGCTGCTCCAGTGCTGGCCAGGGGTGGGCGCGGGGTGAGCCAGGCACGTGGAGACCCCACGCCCAGGCAAGAGGGGCTGAGACACTGAGAGATCAGCACGGAGCCTCATGCAGGAAGGCCCAAGGGAAACCTCCCACTGTACCCTAATTCGGGACTTTGGGGAGGGCAAGGCACCTCCTCCAGCGGTTACCCCAGGACAGCAGCGTAAACTGGGACGTGGGCCCCCAGGGTCCGCCCGCCCTGAGCCCACTGCTGAGGACGGCTCCTCCTCGTGCTGGCCCAGTGTCCCCGTCCGTCCTGCCGACGGTTTCTGGGTTTTCAGGCTGCGGTAACATCTTTCACCTCAACGCTCCCACTCCCTGGAGGGGAGAGAAACCAGCTCTGGACGAGATGACGCGGGGCACTGGCCTCATTAGCTGCCTGGCAGCCTCCCGTGCCAAGGGAGGGAGTGGTGGTTTATTTTTAAGATTTCCATTTATTCAAACGAGCCCCGAGAATGGCCAGGAGCAGCTCAGGTCTCAGGCAGGGAACCTGGGGCTACGAGAGCCACCCAGTGTCTTCCCAGGGACCACAGGTGCCTGGGATAGGGCAGGAGAGACGTCGAGCTACACCGGCCAGGAGGGCCAGCCCAGGCGGGGGCCACAAGGACCTGGAGAGCCGACCCTTCCTCCACGGTCCCCACACCAATCATCTGGCTTGGGCAGAGAGCTAGCCGGCCAGGACACTGGCTGCCACTTCTGTCAAGGAACGACGGCAGGCCCTCCTGACCTCCTTTCCCAGGACGCTGCCTCCTTGTGGAGAGAGGCCACCACTTCACGGGCAGATCCTAGAAATCCAGGCCAAGTGAGGAGCTTCGCCCTCGAACGGGCGGAGGAGGAGGACACACACCCCCGCCCCGCCCCCCGCTGCAGCCTCCAGGCCAAGCTGGCTGCTGGCCGCTGTCGGCAGGGACACTCCCCAAATGTGCAGGAGTGGCCGCGCTCTCTGGGACGTGCAGAGGACAGAACGTGCCTGACCCTACAGCCCTGATGACTTAGCAACAGGCCCCAGAAAACGCCCCAAGCCGGTCCCTGCCACGGACAGGCACCGTGGCCAGGCTCCTGGCGTCCTGCATCCTCCCTGCCCCCACCTTCCCCTGCTCCTTGCTTAGCGGGTGCTATGGAGACCACACTATAGAAACACCCAGCTGAAAGCATTTAAGACCCACAGAACGCTCCCACTTAGTCACCCTGGGCTGAACAGCCCTGTAATCCGAGAAGACAAAAGTGATCAGAACACACGTCTCCTCTCCTCCCTTGAGCAAGCCAGTGACTCAGAGCGGGGGAGGGGCATTCTAGAAAACACCCGAGGCTTTGGTTTCCCTCACCGGATAGGCCATCGTGGCTTTCCCACGTTTCTCAAAACCCCAACGCTGCCCCTAACCACTGCAGCTGGTGAATGACAGCGGAATCCTTGGGCCTCAGCTGTCACCGCTAGTAACCATTACTCCAAGGAGACAAGGAGGGGACCCGATTAGCTGCGATGTACAGGAAGGTACAGCCAGAATCTGCCGCCCCCAAGCTGCATTCATTCAGCCACGGGGCACCTTCTGGGGGCAGCCCTGCTGACCGGGCCCGTGCCCACTCCCTGGTCTGATGCACCTGGCACCCAGGCCAAGAATAGGGAGGACAGCCTGGGTCAGTGGGTGAAGCTTGGTGAGGGCCGTGGCAGCGGTTCAGTGGATTGTTGGAGGACCCTTAAAAATCTCATTTAAACACAAGAGCTCAGAGCAAGGCTCGGGAAAGGGCAACTGCGCCCTCCTGCCCACGGTCCAGCAGATGCAACAGCTAGCAGGCAGCTCTGCGGGGAATGTGCTGTGCGCACACCCTTAGGCAGAAAGTGCAGTGCCTCTTGCAAGCATCAGGGACCCATGGGCCCCGGGCTTCCCAATTTCCTGAGAAAGGGCCCACAGCCATCACTAGATTGGAGGGTGGGGTGGGGTGGTGGTGGTGGTCCGTGACCAAACAGATCCCACTGCCCACGCCCTGCGCAGCACACTCACACGCTGGCGTGTCCAGAAAGGATGTGCTGGGAGGGGTGCGCCCATGGGCATCCCCATGCCCAGACCCCAGGAGAGAACGTGGGGCCACTTCTGTCCACACCAGTGGGCTGGACATGCTGACAAAGGCTTGCGGTCCAAGGGGACGGGGTCTCAGCAATCTGTGAGCACGCTGAGCCGAGGCCTCGGGTGGCCACCAGGGAGCGCGCCAAGCCTCCAGGACCCACGGCTTCCAGGTCTGGGGTCTGCTCTGCTGCCCTGGGACCTGGAGGAGGATGGAGCCCGGGCTCCTGTGCCCACCTTGCTGGGTGGTCCCTGCCAAGTCTCTGGACCCTGTGGGTCTCAGTTTCCTCAGGGGCTGAGCCAGATCGTCAGCACCCGACATGGCAGCCCCTGCCTCACGTGCTCTTGGAGGTTCTGCAGGTACAAAATTCACATCCAGCTTCAAAGACTCAGCAGAAAAACAGGAACGCAGAACACCTCACTAGTATCTGTTACAATGATTGCGCGTCTAAATAACACTCTGGACACGTGCCGCTAAATAAACACTTCACCTGTTTCTTCTCACTGTTTTACACGCCCACCTCTCAGGGTGAAAAGACAGGTGCCGTGTGCCCGGTGCTGCCCCCGAAAGCCCTCCCAGCTCTGACAGCGTAAGATGCTCCCGATTTCCCACGGTGCTATCCAAGTAGGCAGCCCAGTCTGGAGGGGGAATTGTGTGGCTTGATCTGGTGAATTGGGGGTAGGTCTGGGGGGGACCAAGGGAAGGGAAAGAGTCCCCCAGAGGACTGAGAATCCTGATACTATCTGTGGACACAGAAGCCCTAAGAGGGCGCAGTGGCTTCTGGCTTCTCAGTTGTTCTTTTCCAGGAAGACCCCTAACTGCTTATACCCCAAGGAAAGAAGATGTCCCACTGCTGGGATGCGGTGCCTTGTCCACAGACCGCCTTTCACACTGAAGAGCTTTTTAAAATGAGAACAGCAGATGCATAAGGGGCTTAAACCACGGCCATCAAACTCCACCGGTTAAC